TCATCGATCTACGTGAAAGTCTTTAAATTGTAACCTTCTGAAAGCCGTCAAATTATAACTTCCATCATCAGTGTTTAATAGAGGATCAGCTATCTACAGTGATTTTTAGACAGCCTACAATTAGTCCCTCAAATCTTTATATTTTGTATTAATCGCTCAAATTGCAAAAATATGAAGACATTAGTTCTTGTGTTAAGTTTATGGTCCAAAATCCTTAATCATGGTTAGGTTTAGATTAACCATGGATGTTTAACTAGGCCTGTCCATCCGGCCCGGCCCGGCCCGGCCCGGAAATCCGGGCCCGGGCCGGGCAAAACCGGGACCCGGACCCGGACCCGGGTACACCGGGCCGGGTCCGGGCCCGGGCCCGACCGGGTGATTTTCCTTTTTTTTATTTTTTTTTATTTTTTTCCAAAATTTTTTAATGTTATTTAACTTATAAATTATAAAAAAAAGACAAGAAAAATAACAAAAACAATAATTTTATTAATTACTTAAAATGACATAAATTACAAATAAGAAATGATAAAAACATATTCTTTATTAATAATTGATAAATCAGTTACAAATTACAAGTACAAATTTATTTTGGAATTAATCGCATCACAATAGATAAGTAAATCCCAACTAGGTTGGCACCTACTCACCTATATCACTATCATTTGCAATTATTTCCAAAATAATTCTTTACAAATTGTAAGCTAAGATATAAAAACTACAATCTATTCTTTATATCTATCTGCTAGTCCCAATTCTTCAAATTTATCTTCAATTCCAGCCATCCGATCGATGCCTTGCGTTCGCTTCTCGTACCTCCACCAATCTTGTAGGCACATCACCGCTTGTACAGTATATGGATCCAAGCATGTCCTGTGATCGTCGATCAAACGACCTGCTGTGCTGAAGGCGGATTCCGAAGCTACCGTCGAAACCTGCACTGTTAGTAAGTCACGAACCATGGTGGAAAGTATAGGATATGAAACTGATCCATATACTTTCCACCATTGCAAAATATCTAAAGCATTTCCTTGACATCTAACTAAAGAAGCAGAAAAATATTCATCTATTTCAGAAACCTCCGATGATGACGATCCAAGTCCAGATCCACCAGTTAGCTCGGCTACCATTGCATACCTATCAAAACTTACACTTTTACCTCGGGCTCGGGATGAGCTCGAAGAAACCGAAGCTGCAGACTGTTGTGCAGCTACACCATGTCTAGCTGCATACTCATCATATAAAGTTTGAAAATAATTTCTAATAAGTAAATGATGAGTAGTAGCATTCAGGGTGGTTCCATCATCTAAGTCTATAACCTGTCCACCATACAATGACTGTAACAAACTTCGAAGGCCAATATCCTTCAAGCATGGATCAATAAGAACCCCCAAACCAAAAATATGAGGAATAGGCCTAAAATACTTATTAAATTTGCTCTCCATTTCAAAAACCATAGGTCCAAAAGTAGCATCCAAACGATATTTATCAAAAAAATTTTGAATATTTAAAATTTGTAAAGCAGCTAAAGTAATGGTTGGATAATAACAGCCAGATAATAACATGGTAGCATCATAAAAAACTTGTAACATTTCATTTAAATTACATATAACTGTCCATTCATCTTCAGTTATTCCATAAGTGCTACCAGAACTAGAACTAGAAGCATAATAGTTTATAAAATCAGTTATAATATCTTTATATTCTATTGCTACACTTAACATTGCATATGTGGAATTCCACCTATGATCAACATCTTTTGGAATTAGTCTAGGATTTATATTTTTTTTTTACAAAATTATTTCCATCTTTTAAGTCTTTGTTCAGAAGCACTATGCATGTAAGCAACTGTTCTAACCTTTTCTATCATGGGTTTAATTTCAGTAAATGCACTTTGAACAATTAAATTTAAAATATGACAGATGCACCTAATATGAAAAAGATCACCATGACATGGCAATGATAAAGATGATCTGATAAAATCAACAGCTACATTGTTATTACTTGCATTATCTAGTGAAAGAGAAAATATTCTTTGTGAAATTTCTAATTTCATAAGTTCTTCAATTATTAAATTTGCAACATTAGCACCAGTATGTGACTCTTCTATTGCAATAAAAGAAACAACTCTTTTAAACATTTGCCAATTTTCATCAATCCAGTGTGTTGTGATACATAAATATCCAGTTTGTGCTCTAGATGTCCAAATATCAGAAGTTAAAGAAAATTTACAGTTTAAATTTTTAAAATAAGAAATTATTTTTTCTTGTTCTTGCTGATAATATTTTAAAATATCACGTTGACAGGTTTGACGAGAAATTTTTTTAAATGCACGATAAAAACCATCTCTAAACATATCTTTAAATTCATCATCTTCTACTAATTTAAAAGTAAGGTTTTTAAGAATGATAAACCCGATTACGCATTTCCTGGCTCTGGCAGCGTCATAGTTCCAACTACCGAAACTACCAGAAGAGGAGGATTGAGAAATCATAGATTGTCGGATATCACATTGAGGAGTCTGGCCTTTGTTGTGTTTATCTAAATGGCATTTGAGGTGGTTGGTGCCGCTCTTATGATGAGCTTGAAAAATCTTGCCGCACAAAGCACACTTAGCCTTCTGGGTGAGGATCCTACCGTGTTCATCCTTGGTGACGTCGATCTTCTCGTAAAAATTCCACACATCGGATCTTGGCCGTTTAGGAGCTCTTGGTGCAGATTCGTCGCCACCGGATTCGGGATTAACTTCGGTAGGAGGACTTATAGTAGGAGGACTCATAGTAGGAGGACTCATTTAAGGATCAGGAGAAATGTTTTTCTCTTCATAATCAGATCCGGAAGCCATTTGATGAAAGTATTAGAATGTATAAATAAGAGAGTATAAGAGTATAAGAGAGAGTATAAGAGTATAAGAGAGAAGAGATGAGTTTTTGGTGTGAAAAAAACAAATGAAAACCCCCCTCTATTTATGAACCAGCCCCCTAAGCAAATGACCAAAATAACCTCACAAAATAGCCGTTTTTTGACCGTTTTTGGGGGCAAAACGGTCAAAAGGCCAAATCTGACCGTTGTGGCCGGACCGGGCCGGCCCGGCCTGGCCGCTTTTGGCCACAAACGTCACCTTTGGTGATCGTTGTGGCCAGGCTTTGGCCGGCCGTTTTCACACCAACGGTCACCATTTGGTGACCGTATGTGGTCGGGCCGGCCCGGCTTTTTTCCGGCAACGCGGTCACCGATTTGTGACCGTTGCCACACGGGCTGGGCTCCGGGCCCGGGCTGCCCGACCCGGATGATCGCCCGATGCCTACTGTCCGAGGGCCGCGGCCGGCGCGGCGAAGGCCGTCGGCCGCCGGATTATTCGTCGGCCGAGCGAGGCCGGGCCCGGCGCGGGCCAGCCTGTAAAATGGACAGCCCTATGTTTAACTACCAAAATATCATCCACCCCCCCCTCTCTCTCTCAATGGAGGAGCTCTAATGGGCTTTTATAGCCTCCAAAAAATAAGGAGAGCCATCGAAGGAGATGAGTTTACTGTTTTGTTGGGTCATTAGAGAAGATGAGTTGTGAAACGGATTCGGATTGGGTCTTTTATTCGGTTTAATAAGCTTAACGGTTATGAAGGATTTGGGTATTAGAAGTGAAAGCATAATTATTAATTTTCTTTAAAACATTTTAACATAACAGAATATTCTCCATCATTTATAACACTAATTAACCACAAGGACTCATATCAATATATTTGTGAAATTTGAGGGATTAATATCAAAATATGAAGATTTAAGGGACTAACAAAAAATACTAATGATTTATGGGACTAATAAAAAAACCCACATGCATGTGTGTGATTGCGTGTATGCAACAATTGAAACAATTTACGAGGTGATAACTATAATAACAACCAGGAATCGGTCTACAGATCATCAATCTTGATTCACATGGATTTTGTAGATTGTTTTTATTCATTTCACTTTTTAATTTTTGTACTATTATATATATGTAAACACTCAAGAATTATTTATAATACTTTCTCTTTTTTTTATTACCTTTCTCATTTTTTATGTTCATAAAATAAATTCAAGCTATAAAACAATTATGTCCACAATGCGGTTATAGTAAACATATAAACTCAACGGAAACAGATAAAATATTTAATCACGTGCAACACACGTGCGTTCCATCTAATTGTATATTAAAAGAGGATATAAATATAATGAAAAAGTTCTTTTCCATGCAAATAAATACAATACAAGCAACAAGTAGGTTATTACTCAAAATGAAATATATGTCATAAGCCAATTTTCATTTCAAATAAGATAAGATAAACTATCAAATATTAAGTGAACAATATCCATTTGCACTTCGCAGAGTTTAAATAAATCTTCACGAATATAGGAAGAAAATCTCAGTTTACTCTTTTGTTGATATTTTACACTGCATTACACATTAATCTATCCAAGTTGATGGTTTATTGATTTTATATTACATTGCAGTTACAAAATCAGTTTAACTTGCAACTGCAGTGTAAAATATCAAACAACGTAGTCAAATTTGTACTCATCATATCCAAAAAGTTAGGAGGATTTGTTGATTTGGGGTACTGTTCCAAAGTCTATAATTTAAGTTTAGTTTTGTGAATACTGAGATTCGGGGCATTTCTGCAAAATCTTCCCCATATTGGCTTTGCCGCAGTGTTTTCCCTGTGTGGAATAGAAATTTTATTTACAATTAACCACAAATTTGTACTCATCACATACCCCATTATACTTCAAGTATCAACAAGGAACATGATATAGAGATATATCATGATAATACGGTTACTTGCCATATAGCTTCATCAGTTCTTGTAAACCATACATACGTATAGTCATGTGAAACTGACTTGAGACTCGATACTACGGGTTGGAAACTAGAAGGAACTTTTCCCCCCGCAGATTTGACTCTCTTTCACAATAACAAAAAATTATCGAATCAATATGAAGTCTTTATCCTACCTACAGAACACAAGTTGATCTTTTCATTCACTTCAACTTTTCCTTCATTATTAAGCTGAAATAGCAATACAGCAACAGGCATATGCAGGAAAGTAGTATCACTAGAACTCCGTTCTCCAACCTGCTCGAGGCTCGGAAACATGCCTACACTCTCTTAACCTAAAATCACCACTACCACACCAACCAAACTATGTACATCCTATATTTACAATAATTCAAACAACATAACGCGTCAATCAGTCTCATGATCTGGAGCTTCAGAATACCAAGCAGGCTGCTTCCCCATGCTTCTAAGCAATCTGGTGAACGGAGAATCTGGCAGTTTAGCTCTCTCTTCTTCTTCAATCTCGTCTAGAGTTTTCGGCAATCCATCGGGTACAGGAAAAGGCCTGTGTATTTCTTCCTTCATCTTTACTGGCATTTGTTCCTGTAGATTTTTGGTTTTCTTCTCCATAGCTGTGAGCCCGTGAAGGCACTCGATGAGAGATTTTCGCCCACCAGTTTGTCTAACAAATTTCTCAACGTCTTCTTTTGGCATTTCTTTCTGAGAGGAAAATAGAAATAAAATAAGGAATGGAGATTGGTGACAAATAAAGCAGATTTACGCAACTAAAATATACCTCGAGATCTTTCAGCTCAAAGTAGGCCCTCCAGCAGCTGTATGAATCATCACCTTCGAGCGTAGAGCAGTATTCTGCAGAGACAACCAAGAAGAAATGCAAATCAGTGAATAAGTTCACCAGCAAGGGATGGTCATGTACATGACGATAAATGGAAAGAACTGACAACAGCTTGACGGGACCGTTATATGCAAGTGGTAAAACATTCCAGCTTTTGTCAGTTGTAAGGGCTCATCGGCTTTTCTGTTCATTCACTAATAATTAAATAAAATTATGGAAAACATGATGACTACAGTGATTGAGGCACAACAAGCTGTGCTATTAATGACCAACAATAATTGTAAATTTATGCTAATCATCTCAGGATCTAAATATTTTGCTACAGATTTGCTAATTGTCCTCAATTAAATGCACATTTGAAGTTTGCGCTCCAATATTGTGCCTCGAAACGTTTGATGCTTCATGATTAATATTCCTCATTATTTTCCTATCAAGAGGAAAGGGAACAGGAACACATCCTTACGTTCTCAATCACACTATTTGTTTGTTTGGAAATATGCAATTGTCAACGGGTGACAATACAAAGTATATACTTATTTAATATGTGATGACACAACTTAGAAATCCTCTAGAAATCAACTATCAATCATCTCCGCAAAGTTCTCCAAGATGGCATTCTTCTACATGAACACATGCGTGGTTCAAAGTTTGATGTTCTATTAGCCCTACTCTCAGTTTAACATGCATATTGAATTTTGATCTGACAACTTGCTTTTTCAAAAACCATTTCAAAAGATAAAGCAATAGAAGTTATTAACGATGCAGATCATACATCAAAATTAGATCAATAAGAGCAGTTGCTAGACATGTTCTCTTGGTCTATTATTTTATGTCCTAGATGATATTTTTGATGAATTAATTACATCGGTATAATATCAATAGGTGTTCTAAGCATATAACACGCTTTGACAGAATAACTGAGTTAATGATGTATTATTGACTCAATAAGCCACGGTAGTTCCCTAAGTTTTTACATGATTCATACCGAAATCTACTGCAAAGGCAGTGAAACACTTAAAACTTCTATGAAAATTGAAGCAAATCCAATATGCGTGCATGTGCAAGCAGACATGGCGATGAAAACATCACCTCATTGTCAAATTTCCAATTTAAAGTAAACTAGTTATGATGAAAACTTTTGTGTACATGTACCTATTCCCATGAAGAGGTATGACAAATTAATCAAAGGTCCAACAGGGAAGTGGCATGTAGTGGATTACAACATGCATGATGGATGTGGTAAAAACAGTTTTGTGCTACAATAGAATTGAGATCACTTCACCCTTGCAACACGTTGGAAGAAGGCCAGTTAGATCGATAATAATAATAATAATTTTGAGTGTGCAACAGCCAGAGTCATAGTTGGCAAGGCAGCACAAGCTAATACATGATGGACAGCAAGAAAAACACTTGAACTTGTTAAAGACATTATTATCATAATATAAATTTACAAAAAAATATGCAGAGTTACAGACATGTTTCAAGCAAGGAGTACTGGCAACCCCCTCCCCTCGATTTCTTCCTTGGCGGCTGGTTTTTTCTTGGAAAACGATTTTTCATTCCGAAGAATCAATATCTCTCAGGAGAGATCAGATCCAGACCTCAAATTGTAGATGAAGGTTGGTGAGGCCCCCCTACACTTGACCCACCATAGAAGTGACAGAGTCAACCTCTTGTTGCACAGTAACATGCAGCTTTTTCATTTTTAGTTCACTTAATAGATTCAATATTTGATGGAGTAACAAGAACTAGTAATAATCTAAGCAAACAGTGAACACCTATTGGAGAATAAAAAGGGTCATACTTCCAAAATTAGTTGAGCGGGTGCTCATTGATGGACGTGAATTAAAGCAAAGGTACATGTATCATGTCCTTTTCTGTAAGGAAATAAGGACAAGAATTTATTTTGGTTACACTAGTTGAACCAATGAATGTTGGACTAGAGTACCCTAATCTTTCGGAACCAATCAATATAGGTTTCTAACCTTTCAATTTACCTGACTTTCTGAGCTTTCAATCCTTGAATTTGAGGAATATTAGTTTCCAAAATGAAACTTCAATTAACATCTACCTGAGAAGGTTATATAGAATGTTTGGGGTAAGTTTGCTGTTTGTCAGCACAATGCACCCTCTGATGTTGTGGTGACTTAATTATATTCCAATCATTCGAAATTGGCAAGTCAGTTTTGCTGCAAAGGAGTCAACCTTACTGTGCATAGACCTGAGATTTGCTCCTGAACCTCCTCCTAGAGTCAAGTGTTGATGCTCATCTACAAGCCTTAATGAAAGCAAGTCTGGTCAAAACATTTAGACTCTTCTCACTGAAAGCCTAACGTTGAACAAGGACTGTCTCTCTACAGCAAATTAAATCTCCTTGCGGACTTGATGCTAAAACACCAAGAATCAGAAGGTACTTCTATTAGTCTTGGGGTTGTGCCATGTATACAATTTCATTGCATTGGGGCCGGGTTCATCTATTGATGCACGCTACAAAAGAGGATAGCATTATAAGTACTCTCATTGGTAATAAGTTGTTTGTTTGCCGTTTCTCCCATTTTTGGATGAAAGACACAAGATAGTAAGGTAGAAGTCATAGCGTTCTCTCGTAATTCCTAGATTACATAGATGCCAGTAAGGTTGATCACCAAACCATGTAATGTTCAGTATTTTCTACTTGTATGATTCTAACTTGTGTGCTTGAGTGCAATGAATAGCGTAACACTCACCTCCGATTAACATAAAACACAAAATAGTGTAACTCTTAACGTAGGTGAAATAATTTATTATTATTTAAATATTTTATAGATACATAATATTCAAAATCAAATAATATGAATAATCATCACAATTTTCAAACATATCATCATAAAAATACTATCACAAATCAATATATCCTCAAAATTTCGCATCAAAATCAACTATGTTATGCCATAACAATCATTCCAAAAGCATAGTTGTTAAAAAAATATACATCACACACTATCACAGTAAGTTCTAATAGATAATAGAACATCATAAATGTAAAAATATCTAATAGTAATCCAAGTGAAGTTACAGCTTTTATTTTTGAAAGAAAAGTACAGTTTTTATTACTTCTAAATCCGATTAATTAGGAAAAAAAAGTAATTAGTAATTCTTTGGTCTTTTTTTAATGTTTTCCAGTGCAAAATCTGATTAATTTGAGGAAAAAAACTCAATCACAACCACTAAAATCCTTTTAAAAATCAATCCAGCCCTTGAATAATTTAACCTAAGCTATGGAGCGCTATAAAAGCGCGTTACAAAGCGTACGCTATGGGTAAAATAGCGTACGTTGCGCTATTTTCCAACGATATGTAGCGACAGGGTGGCGCTACAATACGTTATGCGCTACTGAATGCGTTGTTTTCTACACTGCTTGAGTGATTGGAGAGGATCTCTATCCCCAACAGTTGGACATGCTAGCTACAATAATTTTGTGGGGTTGAAAAGCTCGAGATCTCCATGCCCCAACATTCGATCTAAATAGACACCACCGCTTGAAGATGATTACATCTTGAAACTAGGATAAAAAAAACTCTGGTACAAACAAACTTAATCCAGACACCCTATCCAAACTTCCCGTCTTTATTTAGTTCCTAAAGGCCCTGATGCTGCACAAAAACTCTGAAATCGTGGTTATTTTATATTCTAAAAGGCCCCAGCAGGTTGAGCGCCTGAATCCTGGACACTGGACTCACGCAATTTTTTTAAAATTCAAATTAAATTCGAACATGAGTTGCTTTGATACCACCACCTTAAAAGTTTAAAGTCTCTGCCTCAGCACCAAAACTCCAAAGTTATGCCGTGGGTTGAATATTATAGGCTTCTATTCTAACATTAATACTAACAAAATGTTTAATCAAATCAATCAAGAATCACAGTTGCGCTTACTATAAACACAAATAATTCATCTTTCCAACGCAACATCGTTATAACAATAAATTATGACAACTTAACCTAAATTAATAACAGAATTATCACTAAAATCCCCTTTTAACAAGTAGCACAGAGCCAAGAACATAAAGAAGAAAAAAATCATAATCACGCATCTATACAAGAAAAACATAAAATCACGAGAAATTGAGGGGGAGCAAGCACCTGTAAGATCGTTTTCGCATTTCTGCAAGAATTCAGGCTCCTGGATCCTTCGATCGATCCTGCTTCGACTGAAAGACTCGAGCTTTGGGATCGAAGCGCTGCTCCTCTGCGCGTTGCAAACAACACCTCTCGATCTCGGCGATCTCGATCGAGAGGGATCGATGCAATTGGAATCGAAGAGAACAGTCGAAGGAGATTGGAGAATCATAGATCCAAGCATTTTCTGAGAAATAAAATTTCTAATTTTTTTCCCCCTAATTTCAGTAAATTGTGAGAGAAGCAAGCAAGAGAATAGGATAAACGGAGAAGAAAGTGGTTATTTATAGAAAGAGCGCGAACAGGGTTCAGAAATTGGATAAGGATCATAGAATATCTACGATTACTTTATTAAACAGTGTGTAAGTTATTGAGACCCAGAAAGGTAAACCCGAGTGCGATCTGGACCAATCAGAAGCGATAGATTTGGGTTAAAGTCATCCTGGTTGACTTTTATTGGGTGCATGAAACTAAAATATTATATTAATTAGATAATCTTAGGCGCAGCTCTTTGTTTGCGGGGAAAACAGCAGGCGTCGTTATTGGATTCAGAGGTACGGGCATCTGTTTGGTTAAGATTACCGCGAAGATATTTTGACGGATCCAGAGAGATATTTTTCAATCAAGTTGTCGCTTTTTCAAGTTTTTTTTTGCTGTTTTTATCTTCTTTTGCTTTGTGACGGGAAAAAACGAAACTAGCCCAACCATCCACCACCCAAATAAAGCTTATCACCAACTCTGGAACCGGAAGCATTGAATTTGTCAAACTGCAGCAAATTGCTACATTCCCCATCGATCCAACCATTCAAAATGAACATTTTTTTTTTTTGTTAAATTTATAGAAATCAAGAACGATTCTATACAAGGGCTTCCATAAGAAATTGATTACTGATACGATTCGGATTTTTTTGAGAGTCGAAGAAGAATGAAAATGTTTTGTTGAGAGAGACTTTTTTGGACCAAGACAAACTTTTACTGAAGCCCATGCACCAAGCCATTTCTCATCCTATCACCATTTACATTTTAAGTGGCTCTACAATTAAAACATAATCCTAAGAAAGCGGATGCTCGAGTCTGAGGCTCCTAAGAAAGCGGATGCTCGAGTATGAGGCTCAACACTCGGAGACAAAGTCCTTTATCATCCAAGCAGGGTTTATTGGCACTATGGTCTAGACATGATCTCTTTCACATATCGTCTTGTTAGGATAACCGACATAGTGCAATTGCTATTGAGCACCTTCGCCCATTATAATAACTACACGAAAATATTTCCTCTCCTCTAGTGCTAAACTGGTCTATCATGATACAAAGATCTCTCTCTCTCTCTCTCTCTCACACACACACATGTCTAACTCCTTTCTAAAGAAGATCGGGTATGAGAACTTAAAAGAAGCGGGGAAAATTATACATCAGATCGGTGCTCCAATCTGCAGCTGGCGATAACCGGCTCAGATCCTGACGGTGGAGGGAACCACGATAGATGAGACTTCCCCGCGCTATTCACGATGCACATAGCAACCTCCAGTCAGTACCACGAGCCCATTGCTAATATTAGCATGTGAGGTGATCTATTAGATATAAAGTCTCCATCCCTATTTATAGGGAAAACATCAACCAATGGATAGGATCATTTAGTTAGCTACCAAATCCCTATAGATGAGGACAATCGACCCCAAAAGATATGATCTCACTAACCTCTTGATCCTATATCATATCCTATGATAACAATCATATCATGATAGATATGGTAGCTCACTAATAAGGGCGTCAATATCCAACATAATTTCACTCAACCGAAAAAGTGGGCTGCAATGCTCTAAATCGATCACAAGGTCCGCACATCTAATATGTCGTGCGACAATCGAGATAACCTGCGATCGGCGAGCTATATGCTACAAACTCTTGTAAAGATCGAGAATAGAGACATTGAGACTTTAAGAAAAGTTATAAACACATCTCTAGTCAGGGTATCTTCAAATCCCTCTTAAGAAAAGCACACTTGACTACCGCAAAAATATTTGGTAAGATCCACACTTCGTCAAAAAGGAAACTCTAGATGCAGACTCATTACCAAAGTAGATGTGTTAGTGATCTTCCTCTCGCACTACTCTTGATTCAATCTGAGAACAATTGTTTTCCCATTCACCTTCCTTTAAGTCGAATCTATCATGATCGTGGGTGAGGAGTAAAATGAATGACATAAAAGCCAATCATAAAATCATCTAGAATATAGGAAAAATGATCAAGTGTATATAACTAAATACACACTATATCACCATACACACAGACCTAAAAGCCCTAACATGAGTCCTTAATAACTCAGTAGAGAGAGGCTTCGTTAGTAGACCAGCAACCATATGTTCAGTAGGTATGTACTCCAAGACCACTTCCTCTGAATGGTTTTTTATAAAGTTAAACTTTATATCTATATGTTTTGTCTTCGCATGGTAATTGGTGTTCTTTATCGTTGCCATGTTGTCACAGTATAGTGTAACTGGATTTGATGCGTGTGGAATGATCTCAAGATCCTGTAAGATGACCAAATCACCTCTTGTGTTGCAGCTGAAGTAGCAACGTACTCAGCCTCCATCGTGGAAAGCACGATATTTGTCTATTTCTTGCTGCGCTAGGAGACAATCACTCCTCCAAGCAAGAAAACATATGCTAAAGTTGACTTGCGCTCATTATAATCACCCGCCCAATAGGTGTCTATATATCCTCTAAGCCGTAGATCCGATTAACCATAGCACAACACATAATCATGCATACCCTTCAGGTATTGCCTTAGCCTCTTCAATTGCTACCCAGTGTGCAGACCAAGATTAGATTGGAATCGGCGAAGCAACCCAGCAGTGAAGGAGGCATCGAGGTGAATACACACCATTACATGCATCAAGCATCCAATAGCATTCGAATATGGGACATTTTTCGCCTGCTTCTATTCTTTATCTAATTTTGGATAAGATTCAATGCTTAATTGATGATTCTTCTGAACAGGAGTTTCAATGGGTTTCAAGTTGTGTATCTAGAATCTTTCCAAGATATTCCTTATGTACGTCTCTTGCGAGAGTCTAAAGATCCTCTTAAAATGATCTCTATGGATCTCTACGCCAAGCACATAACTAGCATCACCCATATATTTCATATTAAAAGTTGAGGATAGTCAATCCTTAGTGGTGTTTATCATGTCCTTATCATTGGAAGCCATCAGTATGTCATCTAAATACAAGGTCAAGATAAGAAAGTTGTTCGAGGATCATTTTATATACACACAGTAATCCGATTCGGCCATCATGAACCCAAATTGAAAAACTGCTTGATGAAGTCTCAGATACCATTACCTAGATGATTGTTTTAGCCCATATATGGATTTTTTGAACTTGCAGACTTTATGCTCAAGACCTTTAGATGCAAAACTCTTAGGTTGATCTATAAATATTTTCTCGTCTAGTTCTTCATGGAGAAATATAGTTTTTACATCCATCTAAACAAGTTCTAAATCCATGCGAGCGACCAATGCTAGAATCAAGCGAACTGAGACAAATCTCACCACAAGGGAGAAAGTTTCCTTATAGTCTACCCCTTTCACTGGGTGTATCCTTTCTCCACGAGTCATGCTTTAAACCTATTAATAGAACCATCTAATTTCGCTTGACTTTCAAAACCCACTTGTTTTTTATAGCCTTGCGCCCAACCGGAAGGTCCACAAAGTCCCAGACTTGGTTTGTCCTTATAAACTTCATCTCATCTTTCATGGTGTCGATCCATTTTTTCGTGCAGGTTCACCTTCTCTAGGGACTACTGCTGCTGCTGCTTCCAAGCCAGAACCTGCTCAGGTGCCTGCTCCTTTAGAAGAACAACATTTACCTGGTTCTCCTAGGCAACTGCTTCTCCTGCAGCGTTGCCTGAAACTACTGCCGCAACTCCACCTCCGGAATAGCAACTTGTGCAGGTGTCAGCTCCTATGCAGGAACAGGCTCTACCTGCCTCATCCACCGTAGCTGCTTCATCTACAGCATTGATGAAGATCTCGCTTGCGCCTACGGAGGCCGGTCCAAGCGAAACTCCGGCGAGGGCAATGATGGCTTTGACTTCAAGCCCTTTGCAATTGAATGTTTCAGTTGCCTCTGCGACTTCTACGCCCAAATCGCTTGTCAATCCATATTTTGGCGCGTCCACTTCTGGGGTCGTAGAGTCGTCTTCCATTGCTTTTTCTAGTCCAACGGACGCTCCTGACTTCCTCCATATGTCCTTGAGCTACTTAAACAGTCTCGTGCGGAAGGTGATTGAGGTTGTCACAGCTGGTCGAGGCCGCTTTGACTCCTTTAAGTCTCTTTTAGAAGCAGGCTTAAATGGGGTCAAAAGTGTGGGCAATGCTCATTGCTTTGAACGTTGTTCGGAAGCCATTTCCCACTTAGAAGCCCGGCTCAAACATTTGGAAGCCCTCAGCCATGAAGACATTCAGACACAGATCGTGTCTACTTTTGCTGACTTCCAGGTTGAGGAAGTGACTCGCCGTGAGGCAATTGAGCGAGGTCTGGCTGAAAAAGAGCTTCAAGTCACGCATTTGCGAGAACAAAGCGATCTGAGACGAAAAGAACTGGATCTCTCTACTGCTTCTTTGGACCTTATTCGTACAAAACTTGTCGAGGCTGAGGCGGAGGTGTTAAGGTTGAAGGCCGAGCTTTCTCGCGAAGAAGCCATTGTTAACACCCTTGGGGCCAAGAACGCAGACACTCTTTTGAACTACCGTAAGGAAGCTCAGACTCTTGAAAGAGTGAAGAAGGAGGCAGCCGCTGAAGTGGCACACAGTGAGGATGAGCTGCGGAGAAAAGCTGAAGCCGTTGTGCGAGCTAATCATGAGGAGAAGCTCTCTGATGCCAAAGCTCAACTTGCTTCTTTTGACTTGAACTTGTACTATTCTTTTGCTTAAGAACAGCTTTGTATCACTTCTTTTTGGTTTCTGAATAAAAAGTGATATTGACTTCTCATTGTTTCTTGCATTTATTATGTTTTGATTTTAAATACAAGTCACGAGAAATGCCTGAGATGTATTCCTGACTTAGAATAGATCTCCACACTGGTTCTGGTGCAGACAACTCTCTTTATTATCGTTTTGGATAACTCTAGAAAGTTTTAAACTGCTGAGGATGAATATTCCCATAAGGGGGTTGACTAGTAGATTTCTTCCTGCGTTATTTCTTGCGTTGAACACTGAAAGAAATCTATAGGTGCCAGAGGTATAGTTTCAACTTGGCAGGGG